GAGAGAGAGAGAGAGAGAGAGAGAGAGAGAGAAAGGGGAGGGGTGAAGTGAAGCAGGGAGGGTAAGGGGGAGGGAGGGAAGAGAAAAAGTGAAATTCTTCAATCGGAGGTTCCATTTCCTACGCAACCTTTTTGTTGAAATGACCAAATCAGACCCCCCACCCACACCCACAAAAACGATAGCAACAAAGAAAAACAAAACAAAGCAAAACAAACCAAAAAAACCCGCAAGGACTTGGGCTTGCCAAATGTCTTCTCATTGTTCACTGTAACGTTTTATGCAGGTTTGAAAGACCAACTCTGGTGGGGTTTGCTCCTTCATTCCTATCAAACATCAATCATCTTTTTCTCCCCTCCTTCTTTTTTGTGTTTGTTACTCTCTTGTAACACCTCTAATCTTCCGGCGTTCATAACATGACTTTATGCAGTCGCGAGCGCCGTAAAACGTCTACTAAAACTAAATTACTAAAAACTCAAGATACTTTATAGCCAACTTATGATAACACCTTAACGCGAGCATCATCTACATTAATTTTCTCTTCTTCAATAGGTCATCACGTTACCATGGTGATTCAACGCGTCACTTCCGGCCTGACCAAAGATGTCCTGTACATCGGGAGTGCCGTCCCTTTGGAGACCTCGGAGGGTCTGGAAGCCGTCCAGATGCCGCTTCGAAGCCGCTACCCGGTCGAAAACGAAGAAATGCTGCAGGGCATGATGGGAACACTGGAGGTTCTCCCGGAGGGCATACACCTCAAGTTCAAGGACGACAACAAACTCGTTATCCTGTTCCCGTACTCGTCCTTGACCCTGTGCGCGGCCGTCAGGTGTATCAAGGTCACGAACACAGCCACGAACGAGACTGTGCCCAGATTCGTGTCTCTGAGCTCGCCCGAGGCTGGAGGCGCCAACAGCAACAAACCGGCCATCTTCACGGCGATAGCTCGGCGCTCGAAGGGACGCCAAATTCTGGAGTGTCACGGATTTATCACCATGTCCCCCCGAGACGCGCTGGATCTGGTGCAGTGGGTCTCCATGTACGACCGCAAAGCCAAACACGGAAACTACGCGACGGTTGGAAGTAGCGGCATGGGCCAACAACAGGCAACCTACGAGGCTGCTTCGGCTAAAGGGGATATGTCCTTCCGCACAGACACAGCCTCGACTCCGGGTTTTCCCGTACAGCTAGCGCCGGGAGCACCTGCGAAGGCGAATGTCCCGCAGGACTTCATCAATGAACCGCCCAGACAGGGATATTTCTACTCCACAACGTCTGCTCAAGTGAAGAAATATTCCTTGCAAAAGTTTAGCGGTGGAGCAGGGGCGGGGATGGGAGGAGCAGGAGCTTCTACAATGGGCGGAGCCAGCACAATGATGAGAGGAGGAGGAGGAGGAGCCACGATGGGCGGGGCTAGTGCCATGGGGATGACAGGTCCTCCCGGGGAGGAGTTTCCACCCGGAGCCCTGCACTTGCCCCCTGGCGGCGGCGAGCAGTTTGAAAGCCGGCGTCACGGCTACGCAGCGTCCACCTACTCAGCGCCCGCCTACTCCGCGCCTAGGCCACGCCCTCCCTTCATGGTCCCCGTGCGACATTACCGGCCTGTTCCCATGGTAATGAGACCGATGATGATGCCGCCCCCGCCAGCACCACACCCTGCCATGTACAGCATGGCACGCCCTCGCTTCTTCTCCCCGCCCCCTGCCGTAGAAAGGGCCCACCCCGTCCCTTACGTCATCGCCGCTCCTCACCACCCACCCCCAGGTTTCTACGAGCGCCCGTCAAGGCGTGGCTCCGGGGGCTCCTCCTCGTCAGACAGATCCTCTTCGCCAGACTCCCCAAGGATGAACGGCAAAACCTCCAAAAAGAATGGATCCCACGCCCACCACAACCACCACCACCACCACCGACACGACGACGACTCCAGCGAGTCCAGCTCCCGGCCTCGAACCCCGACCGCCGACTACGACAGCAGTAAGGGAGGCAGAGTGAGCCGACGTGAGCAGCACTATATGCGCCAGGGCTACACCACGCGCGAGCGACACGGCTCCCCCACGCGCAGTGCTCACGGCAAGGGTTTCCGCGGGGGACCCCCTCGAGGCTATGTCCTCGTGCCAACGCCCTACAACCAGTACCCGCCTGGTCATTTCCCGCCCGGCCACTACCCCCCTACCATGGTCCGAGCCAGGTCGGTGCCCCCTCACGGAGAGAGAGGATCGTTGAACAGAAAGGAGAAAAAATCCAAGAAGAGTAAGAAAGATCGTAAGAAGAAGAAGAAGGGCAGCAGCAAGCGAGAAGAGAAGGAAGAAACCGCGGCGTATGACGGCTTGAGCGACGGGGTCACCGGGTACACTTCCGAGCTGGGAGGAGGCCCAAACCAACCTCGCGACTTCCGGCGCACTGAGAACCAGTTCCAGCACGAGCGAGCTTTCTCAAAGTCTCTGGCCGAGGAGATCCGGAAGTCGACCAAAGGAGGTCAGAACGAGGTCAACGCTTACTCGTACTTGGGTGACCAGCAGAATGAGGGACCCCTGTTCTGAGTGGACTACTAGGCAGAAGATATTCGGAGACGTCTCCGGCGAGCTCCCAGGAACTATTCGGAGATGCACTCCCGCACACAGATGCACTGCTTTGGGGAGTCAAACTGTGTATTGTTTTGCTGTAGATCACACATATAGCCACTAAAACTGTTACAAATCTTTTATTTTCAAGACAGTTTCAAACCTAACTGTAAAACATCAATTAATTACTTGGTCTAGAGGCACAAAGCATTTCCATTGGTCTATCTTCGTTGGAGACGTCTTCGAATAGACACTGCGGGACTACTACTGTTTACAGGTCTACCTACAGCCCCCGAAAACTACGTCAAATTTCTGTTAATCGCTGGCGGCCTGTTCGACTGCTCTTAGCCCAAGAAGCAAATTGGTCGCTTTTAAGGACAAGCGGGCTAACCCAGATTTTGGGGGTTTCCAGAAATCTTGACCCATACAAAAAATGGGAATTGCCTACCTATAGGAAAAGTTTGGTGTCATTGGTGTGTATATTTGTTTGGTTATAGAGAAAACTATCTTTGTCTTTTAAAGAAACTGAACAAGAGGCAAAAACTTTACCTTCGATTTTATCCAAACAGCATTTTTCGGCATAGCCCCCCTGTGCTTAAAAACGACCAATTAAAGTTACAGGAGAGAGAAAGAGAGGAAACTGTTTCATTCTCCTAAATATTGTACTTAAATCATTCATCTATTCTTGCTTTTTTTCAATATTCAGAATTTCTATTTCGACACTGCTGAATGGAATGAGAAACTGTAATTTAAAAAAAAACGTCTTCTGAATTTTGGTCTTAGAACATGTGAATTGTGGGCTGACGAAATTCAGTGAACCGGGAAAAAAGGATCTAGGGCATATTATAGACTGATGGATGGAGATTCCAGAATGTTCCTCAACTCCGTTCAGGTCAGATTTGTCTCGAGGGAAGAAAAAAATTGCTTCGTTGCACAATTTCACTCGTCGTGGACCAAGGATGTTTTTTTTTTCTTTCTCTCTCTTCCATTCTCGTGGTTTTTTAAAATCCTTTGATGGAGAGGATGAAATTAATGATTCTTCTTCTGGATTTCTTGATAGTTTTTTTTAATGTGAGAAGGAAATTCTGAACCTACATGTTATTCAGCTACAGATGCTTATTTTTTATACTTCATCATTCATCTGGATTTGAAAAAAAAACCCCCCTAAAAACAAACCCTTTGTCTGAGTGGAAAAAATTCTTGTTATTGTTTGTTTGTTTTTTGTTTTTTTCAAACGTGAAAGCTATTTATTTTATTCATCATGTTCAGAAGTTTTGATCTTGAAATTTATGGACGTTGGGAAGATATGAAATACTCACCCCAGCTTTCATTTCAAACCAGGACGGAGTGGGGAACAGAGGATGTTAGTTTTAGTTGAGGTTTTACGGCGCTCGCAACTGCTTAAGGTCATGTGAGCGCCAGGAGATTAGAGGTGTTACAAGAGAGTAACAAGCATAAAAAAGAAGAAGAGGAGATAACGACGATAGATGTTCGATAGAAGAGAAGGAGCAAACCACACCAGAGCGCCCGCCAACCACGCAAAACGGAGGATGTTGTTGGACTGCTTATCCGGTACGTCTTTCGGAGCTGACGTCACAGGTGGATTAAAAATATGGACTGCTTGGAATGCCGGGTAAAAACCATTTTCAGAATTACTTCTATGGTCGCTTTTAAGGGCAAGCGGGCTGACCCAGATTTCAGGGGTTTCCTTAAATCTTGACCTACTCCAACATAAATGGGCATTGCCCTACCTACAGGAGAAGTTTTGTTTTCTTGTTCGGTTATAGAGAAAATTTTCCTTGTCTTTTAAAGAAACTGAACAAGAGTCCAAAAGCTTCACCTTCGATTTTCTCAAAACAACATTTTTCGGGACACCTCCTTTGTGCTTAAAAGCGACCATATATATTATTAATAATATAATAATATGTACTTTAATTTCATACGTTGACCTCATGGACGAGAGTGTGGGAGACTGGTATGGTAACTTTGTGGTCAAACTTAGTACCCTTCTCGTGATCCCAAGCTAAAGCTACTGCGTTTGGATTGATGGAGATTTGTATTTGTCAATTTTGCTGAAACAACAGACATTCTGTGTGTTATATTTACAGTATATTATGTTATGTGTGAGTGGAGATGGTGGAGTCAGAAGCTAAGTTTATCAACATTATTGTTTTTGTTTTTTCTGGACGCTTTTTACAAGGCAAGAGACACCTGTGTTCGAATCCCCCACAGGGAGTAATTTAGGATCTATTTGGAGTGTTTTTGTTTTTTAAAATCTTTTGTGAATTACTTTTTGTGGGTGGTTGGCGGGTGCTCTGGTGTGGTTTGCTTCTTTTTTTCAACCTAACATCTATCGTCCTTATCTCCCTTCCTTCTTTTTTGTGTTTGTTACTCTCTAGTAACAAAACCTCTAACCTTCGGCTCTTAATTTTGCTGGTTGTTCTTTGGTTAGGTTTGTCTTTTTTGGGTGGGAAGAATGTGGGGTTTTTACTTTAAAAGGGGAGGGTTGGGGGAGGGGGGGGGGCTCAACCCAGAGGTCTGAGTCTGGGCAGCAGCTTTACTTTGTTGTTGGATCAGATGTAAACTGACTTACTTACTACCCGTTACGCCATCTGGCGTTTAGGGCAGGAGCAAAGGATCCCCAGCACTGTCTGTTTTGGGCCATCTTGGTCAACGTCCCCCACGAATGGTTCCAGGACTTCATTTCAAACTCTACTGTGCGTCTCCAGGTCACTTTGGGTCTGCCCCTCTTGCGATGTCCTTCAGGTGTCCAGAGGACGGCAGTCTTTACAATAGAGTCTGGGTCTCTTCTCAGAACCTGCCCAATCCATCTCCATATTCTCCTTGTTATATGGCGCTTAAATGACCAAAATTGTGTCGATAGTGCCGTAAAACATCTACTGAATCAATCAATCTCCTTGTTATTATGAACAGATAAAAGGCTGAACGTGATATCGTAAGACCTGCTCGAACCATGTACACTTTTTACACGTATGCAAATGAAGCTACAGAAAAGTAGCCAGTCGGCTGTGCGATGACAAATTATTCATAATGACGTCATCACGTTTTATTGGCTGTCCCTATTCTCTCACGTGGTTCTCTTCACTCTGGTGCTGGTGAAGTTTTTGAACATAGATAGATTGTTTCCAACACGCTACATCAGAATTACAAAGTTCTGTCTGACATTTTTTGCCGTTTTCAGTTATTAAGACCATGAGGTCAGAGACCAAATTAATGTTTTATCTGCTCTATCAAAATCGAAAGATTGTCTGGAGAGTCGTTATCAAGATATTCAAAAAATTGTGAGGCAGCGTGGTAGAATCGGGCTCTCGTCAAAATAATCAAAGTGAAGAAACTTGCATTCAGATTTTTGTTTTTTTGGCTCAACACCTTTTAGACCTGCTAAAGAACTCATTTATGTGTGGATTTTTTCTGAAAAAAACGTTGATTAAAGGAACAGAAAAATGTAAATTTTTAGTTACCACAGACTCTTTAGCTAAGGAAATAACTAATCTTTGGCGGCCATTTTCTCACTAATTTTACCTCTGAAAACAGGTGAACCCCACCTCCTTCTTTCGCAAACATCTCGACTTGTATCCAAGATAAATGGATATTTTTTTCATCCATATAAAGACAAGTAAACAAGCTTTAAGATGATACCAATAACTCTACATGCCCAAAAATTGACGGGAGCCTGATTCCATCCCGCTGACTCACAATTGCATTCGGAAAAGTTTGACACCTTGAGAAACTCAAACGTTTTTCTACGTCAAATTTCTCAAAACTAGGTCGTGAGCAGGTTGAACTTTGTAATTATAGGGTAGCCGTTACAGTTAAATTTGTTTTGTTTGTTTGTTTGTTTGTCTGTCTGTTTGTCTGTTTGCTAGGGTGTTGATGCAGTTCTTATTCTGGTGTTTTGTTTTTGTATAACATGTTATTTTCCCATCATGGCGTCCTGTGGATCGGAGATGAATGTGTGGGTGGTTGGCGGGTGCTCTGGTGTGGTTTGCTGCTTCTTCTTTCCTATCAAACATCTATCGTCTTTATCTCCCTTACTTCTTTTTTGTGTTTGTTACTCTCTTATAACACCCTGTAATCTTTGGCACTTATATGACCTTATTGTGTTGCAAGTGCCGTAAAACTCTTACTAAAGCTAAGGAGATGAATGTGACTTATGCAGCCTTGGATTTGTACAGCAAAATAGGAGGCGTTGAAAATGATTTCAGCTCGGTATCACAAAAGATCGCTTTTAAGGACAAGCGGGCTAACCCAGATTTCGGAGGTTTCCAGAAATCTTGTCCTACACCAAAAGTGGATATGGCCCCTACCTATAGGAGAAGTTTGCTTTCATTGGTGTGTATATTTGTTTGGTTATAGAGAAAACTCTCATTGTCTTTTATAAAAACTGAATAAGGGTCCAAAATCTTTACCTTCGATTTTCTCAAACCAGCACTTTTTGGGATAGCCCACTTGTGCTCAAAAGCGACCTAGTATTCCCAAGATTGAACTTTTTGTAATGACACTGAGCAGGGGTTTGGCACGCACATATTTATGGCTACCAAAGACCTTACTGTATAACCCCCTTGATGGCTACCTACAGAATCATGTTGATCATATCATGGCTAGGCTACTCACTGGATCATCTTGATTGGTCAAGCTCTAATAAATCCTGCCGAACAAACTGTCTTGAATGTGTCGTAAAGCATACACTCAAACAAACAGGCAAACACATAAACAAACAAACAAACAAACAAGCAAGCAAGCAAACAAAACCAGTTTAAAAACCTTATGATCAAATTGTCATGAATGTGCCGTAAAGCATGTACTCAAACAAACGAACAAGCAAACAAACAAACAAACAAACGCACATAACCTTTCTGAAATGATGAACCTTATCTCTGAAGAAGGTTTCCGTCTACGAATTGTAATATATATAATAATAATAATGTCGGTATTTTAAAAAAAATATTATAATACACCAAGATTAATTCCCCACTAAACGTACGTATGTTTGAACTGTTTATGAGAAGAATAAAATGATGCACACGTACAGAATTATCGCTTGTTGATATAACCTGGCTGGTACATACGTCGTTTTACATGCAGTGTATCTCCCCGTCATTTAATATTATAACATTGTTGCTCTGAGACGCTATATCTGCTAGTTTGCAAATACAT